CTCCTCGCCGCCACCAGGCAGCGCCGGCAGGCAAAGCCCGCGGGTGTCGGCCGCGGCGGGGCCCCTTCATCCTTTTGCCCTGCGGCGGCTGGCGCAGGCCGGCGGCGGCGGGTGTTACGTCGTGCTGGCGAGGGGCGTGGCGGCGCAACGGCGAGCTTTGGCGGCAGGGTCGCGAGCACGTGGCGGCGGCGTGGTGGGCTTCGCGGGCGTGCGCGCGTCTTGGGCTGGGGCGGCGGCTGGGTCTGGCTCGGCCAGATCCGCGGCTCAGCGGCCTTTTTGACGGCGCGGGCCATCTCGTTGGCGGGTCGCGGTGCATCTGCTGCGGCTCGCGCGGCTGCCGGTGGCCGATGTGCAAGGCCCGGCGTGGCACCTCCTGTGGTCGTCTCTAGGACGGATCTGACCGTCTCACGTCCTTGTCGTCAGCCGAGTGTTCGACGTGCTCCTCGCTGATCTGATCTGGAGGCCGTGGTGGGGCGTTGTAGGGGGCAACGTGAGGAGGCTGGCTGGAGGGATGGGTGGTCTGCCCACCCGTCACCGGCGCGGGTGTGTGCCGGTCGAGGTCTCGCACCGCTTCGCCCCCTCCTCTTCTCCCTGGCCTGGTTGCCTCCGGCTCCATCTGTCGAGGCGTGGCAGCTCCAATGATGGTGGGGGTCTGCTGGTGGTGGTGATTCGTTCCTTTGGGCGGTCGTTGGGGGTGTCGGGTGGCAGGGCGACAGCTCTGCGGTGGGAGCTGCGGTGTTCGTGAGCAGAGCTCGCAGCTCGGGTGCGGACTGGTGACCTTGGTCGCGTGGGCGGCGGGGTGGCTCGCGCTCGGCGACCCGTGGTGATCGGAGATGAGAGGTATACCGGGGTGAAATCCTTGTCTGACCACGGTCAGACCGACGGTGGCGGCGTCCAAGGGCGTCGTCCCCTTCCTGTAGGCTCCGTCGCGGTCTCTCCTGATTCTCCGTGTTGCTCCGGATGAAAATCTTGATCTTTGGATCGGGTGGTGTCGGTGCTCCGGTGTCGTACCCTTCCTGAAGGCACTACCTTGGAGCTCGCAGTTCGTCGGCGGTCAACTATGTTCTTCACGGTGGCTTGTTCTCGGTGGAGGGCTCCGTCATCTTCGTAGTGATGCTTGTTGTACATCCGTTGTCCGCTTCGAGTTGGCTTAGCTGATCTCCGGCATCTTTGTATCTTGCTCTGTGTGTGTTTGGGTGATGTGTTGTATGGTTCGGTTGTATGAGGGTCATTGCTTTATATATAAAGCGGGGCGAAAGCCTTTTGTCAGTATGCTGTGCCTGCATCTTTTGCATGAGGCTCAATTGGTCTGGTTTGGCCCTATGTACATGAAAGTGTTGTTATAGAACAGCCTGCAAGTTCTCTAGACCCTGGTATCACAAGGTTATCTTGTAGTCTTCTTGTCTTGATGTTCTGTAAATGTTCCCCAGCAATGTCCCAGACCGTGATCATACTCTTGAATTGCTTCCAAAGTGCGGTGAAGATTATGGAACCAGTGTGCAATGTGTTTTGCCTCTTGACCTGCCCAAGTTCTCCTTTTTTTTATTATCCTTTCCCAGTTTGTTTTTCATGATAAGATTAACTTCTTTCTCAGTTAGATGGCACTTCATTATTGAACCCTTGGACTGCCCTCTTATGCTTGTGATTTTGTGAATTCCACGGGCTAAATCTTGCAGTTCATAATGCAGTACCAAGTGCCTAGCTAATCATTAATTCATATATGCACCCTTGGACTGCTCTCTTACGTTTGTGAATTTGTTAGGAGGACGAGCATGAGATGGTTAAAGCAGTGAGCAGTCATGTCTTTGTCTTCAATGGTATCTGGTTCCATGCAAATTTCCTTGCTAAGCGAAAAGGAGCCACCACCTGCGTTGATCTCGTCCCCAAGTACTTCTTTGCTGAGTTGGACATCGTGGGGACGAAAAAACTATCTTGTGTTTCATGTGTTAAGCTTGACCCAGGTATGTTCAATAACCCAAGTTTCACTCTATTTGTTCACACAAATTTATCTTGATGAATTCAGCGAGTATGTGGTGTTTTTTTAATAAATGATTTTACACCCGCAGGTGATCCCAAAAACATTGGTGGTTGTAGCCTGTGCTATGAGAATATCATACATCCTGCTGGCGGTGGATACCACGGTGCCCAACCTCGATCTGTTCGACATGCTCCTGGTGGCCTACAGATTTCATTCAAGTTCTGAATGTTGTAAGTGGTAGAATCGTCCATCACCATGCTAATATAATATAGGCGGAAGAAGAAGAAAACCATGTTTAAATATGAGCGTCAAACCGTTCCGGTAGAATCATGCATCATTTTGGTTGTAACAAAGGTTAAAACTCCACTTTGATGTATGTCTGATGTTATTAATCTGTTTCATGTAGTGTAAGAAGGTGTTTGTTACAGTTTGCTTGAATATATACACCTTGTCGCCGCCAGTGGCAACGATCTAGTGCTGTTGTTGCTGGCAGCAACTTTGGTTACGAGGTTTAGTTTATGCATGGCGAAAAGGCGCCTTGGAATGATCTTAACAGAACATTTAGAAAGAAAAAAAAGGGAAAAGATTCTATTGAGACAGTTACAAATTTGATTGAGTTTCCCCTACTTGAAAGTTTGAATTCTGTTATTTCTACTATAGCAAACGATAATTCGAATTGGTAGACTACCCTCGAATTATTTTCATAAACTGGAGAGTCTTGACCATAGTATGAACAACTGGAGACCCTCATTACGGACAAAATGGCCGAACTAAGGGTTGAATCTCCTCGGATATAACTTATTATTTAAAACCGATGATCCAATAGTCCTCGAGACTCAGGTCGGGCTGAAAGACCGGCCCAAGGATCGGCATCCTCCTCCTTGACTTAAATTAGATCTGAACTTCCATCGAAGCCAAACCCTATTCAGCGTCTTTAGCTCCAATTATAGTAGTTTTTGGCAAATTGGGGCACACACACCCCCTCCACCTAGGGCTCGGCCCATTTAACTTTTTTTCTCGTTCAAAACATTTGTCTCACGCGCCAGGTTCCTGTTTGACCGATCCAAGTAGGGTTTCTTTTCTTACCTTTTTTTCTGGAGTGGTTTTCCTTTGTTTTTTTCAAGGTTTGTATGGTTATGTTTTTCATTTTCTTTTTCATTGTTCTTCTAAATTCCTGAATTTTCTTAAATGTGGGAAAAATTATAAAAAAATAATAGAACATTTTCTCAAATCCATGATCTTTTTGCAAATTCGCGAACATTTTTTCAAATTTGTGAACTTTTTCAAATCCATGAGCGTTTTCAAATATACTAACTTTTTTCTAAACCCATGAACCTATTTTGAACTTGAGTTCATGAACTTTTTTCAAATTCACAAACTTTGTTTGAACTCGTGAACATTTTTGAGTTTGCAAACTTTTGTTCAAATTGTACGAACTTCTTTTGAACTCATGAATGTTCTTCTGTTAATAAACTTTTTTCAAATACATGAATAGTTTCGAATCCCCAGACATTTATTGAACTCATGAACTTTTTTGAGTGCGCGAACTTTTTCTAATCCCAGAAACTTGTTTTGGACTCGTGAAACTTTTCGAGTTCGCAAACTTTTCTCAAATCCCATGAAGTTTTATTTGAAGTCTTGAATGCTTTCGATTACACAAACTTTTTTTAAAGCCCACAAACTTTTTTCTAACTCATGAATCTTTTTGAGTTTGTGAACTTTTTTCAAATTCCCGCGAACCTTTTTGAAATCCAGAAAAAAAATGTGAACCTTTTTCTAATTCACGTACTCTTTTAAATCTGCGAACATTTTTTTAAATCAGTAAACTTGTTTTCAAAAGCATTCACTTTTTCTTTTTCTTTTTAAAATACAGCTGGAATGCAGCAGCAAAATCTAGGGAAAAGGTGTACGTATTTTTATAGGTACAAAAAAGTTTACGTACGTGAGAGTTAGAGCGGCAATTTCACGAAAAATGTATGTGAGAGTGAGAGCGGCAATTTCAGATAAAAAAAAGAAAAGACGTGTGAGAGCTGAGGGAATGAGTTGGGCGACCGAGCGCCTCAGAAAGCACTATTGGGCCACGGCCAGTCTAGCCCGTGTGAGCGCCGGCATGCGTTTTCGTCTCCTGAAGCACTGAGGAGGGGTCGGGTGTCTCTTCATAGAACCACGACGTTCAGCTAGCAGGACCTGCATGGGCCATCACCATCGTGCTTCATTTTGAGTTGTTGCACATTAAACGACACAGTGTATGGGTATGGCATGTCAATGCCTGCAGCCCATCATACTGAGAAATTTCTTCATTCATTTCCACACCATAGTACAACAGATTACAAATCAATTTTGGACGGGCAGTTACATGACAAACACATTCATAACAAAATCCAGAATAATGCTACAAGCAAACATATGTGAACCTCGCACTAGTAGAAAATGGGGCATTTGTCCCGGTTCGTAAGGGCCTTTAGTCCCGGTTCATGAACCGGGACTAATGGGTCGTTACTAATATCTCCTCCCTTTAGTCCCGGTTCAAACACGAACCGGAACAGATGGTCCTCCACGTGGCCGGTGCACCAAGCCCAGGCAGGGGGGCCTACCAACCGGGACCAAAAGGCATCCACGTGTCAGCATTCCAGTGGCTGGGGTTTTTGTTTTTTTTGAAGGGGGGGTTGGGGGTTTTGGGGGGTTAATTTAGGTGTTTCATATATTATGTTAGCTAGCTAATTAATAGAGAGAAGTGTCCTCTCTTATGTCCGTGCTTGGTCGACGCTACGTACTATATACATAGAGAGGCCCTCGACATGCTAGCTAGTAAGAAAATGAAGGGAACCATTGAGTACAGAAGTTCGTCATGCATACCGAGAGAAGTGATCGATCGACCTCTCCTTCTTCGAGAGATTGGTCGAACAACAAGTTTTCGTATCATGTATCCAACGCTACTGGCTACATACATGTACAATATGTAAGATCTCTTAATTACAATCCCCTAGCAATTGAAATCAACTTCCACATGGTATTCTCTGGCTTTATTGATGACGTGGTCAAGAAAGAATCCCGCCAATTCCTCTTGAATTGCTTTCATGCGATCTGGTTCTAGGAGTTCATTCCGCATCTGCCACGTCTAATTTGAAGAAGGGGGTTAATACATACATATATATGAATGAAACTCAACAGAAATGATGGTGTAATAAAATAAAATTGTGAATATTATTGTTTACGCACTTCAAATTGTCTTTCAGAGTAGCCCCGCTTGTTTTGCAAAGTCGCGTTGTGAATGAACTCGCACACATAGTATCCACAGAAATCATTCCCTTGTTCCTGCCACAAGCACTTTACGAGAAATAGAGGTCAATCAAACTGATAATGAAGCATTATAAATGGCATTGATGAATATAGCTATAGAATCAACGGGAGATGCGCGCAACTAGCTAGCCAGTAGTACTTATTTTTGGGTACGTATATCGCAGCTCCTTCGGTAGTCCCGGAGCTTCTGCGGTGAACTATTCCAAACCCTGCAAGACAAAGAAAATAATCATTATTACTTGAGATATCAGGAAATGAACAAAAAGTTACCGATATGGTGCGATAATGATCGATTGAACTTACTTGCTGAGCAATTCAGTCATGTCCGCATAGGTTTCGGGATCTTTTCGTCTTGAGTCTAAGACGGTTACTAGTCCCCGCTCAAGCTTAATCTCCAGAAGAACATAGTGGTACCTGTGCACGCATGCATAACTCATCAATTACATTACTATAACCTCGCTCGAGTAATAAGGGAAACTGAATATGCACACGACAGTAACACTCACTTGCCGTTGTAAGGAAAGAGTATGGTATCTTTGTTTTGATTTTTGATCAACGATTGTAGCAAGTTGTCCTCGGCCTCTTTGGAGTGTTTTTTAACCAGAAATTCATCTATGATATTTGTGTTAATGAACCCAATATCATAAATTTCTTGTTTTTTGCACTCGACGATCTTCAATCTGCATAATATATTGAGGATAATTAATTATAAATACATGCAATGAAAGAGCCGAGCTATATATAGAGACTTAATGACAGAAATAGTACTTACATGCAGTAGCAAAAGACCGTTAATTTATCGAGGGCCTTTTGATTGAAGAACGCGAAGAACTCATCAAATGGAACACACAACAGATCACTTGAAACGAGGTCTTGCTCCTCTTTAATGTTCAGATACAAACTATTCGTCCCCTCAGACTCTCTGCAGGTTTTCCTGTACCAATTATGGAATCTTCGCATCATCGTTGTTAGAGATTTTTCATCTTTGACGAGAGGCTTCCCGTACTCGTATCTGTGTTCGTCCACCTCCACGAAACAGGAAGTTGATCGTCAGGCAGGTAATCTTGTAGATTGCCATAACCGGTCACCATCCCCGGAGCATTAGCGACGATGTTACCGCTAGACACATTGAGCGGGGGGCACGATTGGTTTGCTTGTTCGCCGAGCTGGTCCATTTTTTCGCAGCTGCTCGTTCTCTTGACCTTAGATGTCTGACAGTACTTCCCGACCGCTCCGCTTGGAGATATGTCTGTTCAGTAATGCGCTCATAGTTGGTTCTCGGCGGAGACTTTGCCGGTTTCCTCTGGGCATCGAGAGTGCGCTTTGCTTTCACTGGATCTACCTTCTCATCCGAAGGTGGTTGTCTCTTTGCTTTCACCCCTTCAAAGAACTCCTTCACGTGGGTCCGCACGATCGTATCGTTTTCCTCCTTGGTCCTCTCGTACGGTAACTTCTCTAGAGGCTTGAGAGGTGGACCGTATCTGTATTACCTCCCGCCTCTGGTGTGCTGCTAGACGCCGGAGCAGACGGAGCGGCTATGGCGTCTGTCTTCTTTTGTGCTTGCTTACGAGGCGGAGGAGAAGGACTACGACGCGCCGGAGCAGCCGGGGCGGCGGCAGGTCTCTTCCGCCCTTGCTGGCGAGGCGGAGAAGGAGGAGGCTGCTAGCTGATCGGGAGCGCTGGCGCAGGCGGAGAAGGAGGCGGAGTGCCGCCACGCGCCGGAGAAGGAGGCGGAGTGCCGCCACGCGTGCCCTGATCGTCACTCACCGGAGGAGGAGGCAGTGGAGGAGGCGGAGTGCCCTGACTCGCCGGAGGAGAAGGAGGAGGCGGAGGCGTCCAGTTCGGAAGGTTGATGAGCTCCTTCCACCATAGGCATGGAGTCTTCAGAGCAGAACCCAGCCTAGTCTCCCCTTCACCGGTAGGGT